ATGGCTTTTTCCGCTAACCGGGTTTAGAGCCTCTGAATCCGGCATTGACTGTCGTATCCTCAATATGATCGCCGTTAATGCGGCGTTTGTTTTTGTTGCGACGCGGCCTGTCATTTCGGTCCTTGAAGTCCGGACTGCCAGAATTTTTGCTGAGGTTGTTGCTACGTGCTAGCCAGCTGTCCTCACCCGTGCAGAAGCGGGTCATGAGTGATGTGAGGCTGCCATGGATTTCGGCTTTTCCTGTCCCAGGTGCCGGGCAAGCCACTCATCGCGGATGTTATGCTTGAAGGCCGCGAGGGCCTCCGCATGCGGACAGCCGACGATTTGGTTTTTCTTGGTTAAGAACCGTGTCCAGAATTGCCTGGCCGATTCGTCTGGCTGCTGAATTATGTGGCTTAGGTCATCAGCGTCTGGTGGTCGCACATAAGTGCCCTGGAAGTTATCGAGGAATGCGGCTTCCAGGTCCTGCCAACTCCCAATTGACTCTGCTGGCAAGCTGTTGAGCCAATGCCGGGCTGGTCCTTTAAGCTTGAGGGGGAGGTATTTGATGGCGTGAAGATCGTCACCGCGGGCCATGTGGATGTGAAGGAGATAGTCTTCAATCCAAACCGCGGGGTCTGTTGTGCCATCGTAGGATTCAATATTGACGGGTTTAAACCCTTCGGGGATTTGATGATCCATTACTTCATCTATGAAGCATAGTGGGTGTGCGGCGCCTATGTACTGGGCGATATCACGACGGAGCTCAAGGGAGCTTGGTCTATTTTGTTCGGCCCGTCCAGTCTTACTGTGTCCGGCGCGACGATTGTCGTCACGTATCGTGGGACGCCCACGCGATCCATAGATCGATCTTGATTGTCTTGCCTTATCCTCCAATATATCTCGCAAGTCCGGAGTGTTCCCCTGTGGCCGTGTGCTTTTCGAGCGATGCCGGGGTACGGGTCTGGTGAAGGGCCTAGAGGCCACTCTGTCGCGACCACGGGGTGGTCGGTCAGCCGTATTGTCTCCTGGTGATGCGGGTTCGTAAGCCTCCTCCTCTAATCGGGGGAGCAGCTTGCGTTTAGGGTAGCTTTTGGAGGGGCATTTGAGCTCATGCTCTTCGGCCGCGAGGACTTCAGTCCATCTGTCGGCTAGCAGATCCTGATCAGCTCTAAGCTGTTGCTTCTTTTTCTTGAGGCTGTTCGCCGTGGTCATAAGCCTGCGTTTAAAACGCTCTTGTTCGACGGGATCCTCAGGCACGACGAATTCGTCATCGTCGAGGCTCGCTTCGTCTCCGGAGGGAGGCGTATAATCCTCTGCCTCTTCTCCTGCTGCAACTTCATAAGGGCTGGCGTCTCCGTCCTCCTGCGCTGCATCTTGCTGGAGCGGGTTGTCTTCGGCACTGTCCGGTGTATTATTGTCTCCGGTGCCGGAGTCTTCATTCTTGCTGTGGCAGGATTTAGAGCGGCGCCGCTGACGCCGGCGCTTGGGCTGCTTTTTGGAGGGGTCATCCTCCTCTGTTCCTTCGCCATTCCCATCTTTTGGGATATCCACCATGTATATGTCATACGATGAGGTGGCTGTCCAATGCCCAGTGGGCGCTGGTTCTTGGTCGTCTCCGGCGTCATCGTCCATACCGTCGATGTCCTCAGAGTCGTAGTCTAGCATGTCGGTTAAATCATCAACAGCGGCTACCAAGTGGGTGGTGGGTGGGCTTTGAATTTCTTCGTCGTCCGCATCCCAACCGTCCTGACCGCAGTCCGACCAGGGCTCTCCTGATAACGAGAGATATTTTAGCGAACTCAAGACGCCGCCAAAAGGTGAGTGTTGAAAGACGTCCGCTGTGGTGAACTCCATGATCGCCGCCCAATCGGATTCGATCAGGGCGGGCGCGGGAGGTTCGGAGTCCGGCGAGGAGTCCGGCACCTTGGAGTCACGAGCTTTATGAGGGACAAAGTCAATGTTCGGCTCTATCGCCGTAGAGGTTGCAGCCCCCGAGGCGGTGTCTAGGCATCCGTCCTCGATCTACGGAGTTGGCTCTGAATTGAAGATCGGAGCGGTTTCGAGTACGGCCTCGAAGGTACTGTCCGGCTGCAGAGCTAAATCATGCTCGCCGCGACAGTGCGGCACGCTCGGCTGTGGCTCGAACCTATCGAGGATCAAGTCCCCGCGGATGTCAGCCGTGAAGTTTAAACTTACAAACCTGACCTGACGGCCAGGGGCATAGCTTTCGATCTGCTCCAGCTGGCCAAGCGAATTGGCCCGCAGTGCAAAGCCGCCGAATACGAAGATTTGTCCGGGGAGGAAGGTCTCTCCCTGGACTGTGTCGTTGATGATGATTGAAGAAGCCATCGAGCCTATCGGTGACGACACAGAGGAACTCTCAATGAAAGCACCAATGTCGGTGTCAAAACCGGCGGATCTCGGGTAGGGGGTCTCGATCTGTGCGTCTAGGCGGATGGTAACAGGAGACGAGGGACATGATGTTTTTACCCAGGTTCGGGCCCTCTTGATGGAGGTAAAACCCTACGTCCTGCTTGATTAATATTGATGATGTGGGTTACAAGAGTAGATCTACCACGAGATCAAGGAGGCTAAACCCTAGAAGCTAGCCTATGGTATGATTGTTGTTCGTCCTATGGACTACAACCATCCGGTTTATATAGACACCGGAGAGGGCTAGGGTTACACAGAGTCGGTTACAAAGGTAGGAGATCTACATATCCGTATCGCCAAGCTTGCCTTCCACGCCAAGGAAAGTCCCATCCGGACACGCGACGAAGTCTTCAATCTTGTATCTTCATAGTCTTGGAGTCCGGCCGATGATGATAGTTCGGCTATCAGGACACCCCCTAGTCCGGAACTCCCTCAGACACGGAAGGCATCAGGCGCTGAGCTCAACCTCCGGCGGCGGCGGCGGCGGCGTACGCGGGCTGGGAGGAGTCGGCGCGGCGGAGGCATCATCGTCGGTGGGGCTGGGCGTTGCGGAGGCATCGTCATCAGCCGCCGGGCTGGGCGGCGGCGTCGGCGTCGCCGGTATCTGGTCCAGGATGAGGCCGCGATTGGCCATGAACCACGGCTTGAGCTTCTAGTCGCTGCTCTGGAGCATGTCAGCGCCGCCCATCAAAAAGACGAGGTCGTTGTTCCTCTTCTTGGCGTCTTGAGCTTTGAGCTTCGCGGCGGCGCTGGTTCGGAGCAAGTCGAGTTTGACGGCGTTGTTCGTCATCAAAACAGCCCACCTCGCCTCGGTTTTCTCTTCTCGCTCGGCGGCCCTGGTCTTGGCGTCGGCGAGGCAATGTTCGATGGACTCTTGCACGCGCGCGGCAGCCGACTCGGCATATTTCGCCTTCTTGGCACCTTTGTTGTCGTCCGGGCGCCCTCGGCTTCCTTTGCTTCGGCTGGGCGGCGGCGGCTGTGGGATCCGTGGCGGCGCGCGGCATCACGTACTTCTTTGGTGGCATGGCCGGCGGAAGGACAGGGAGGAGGCGGGGGTTTGGCGGGAGGAATGAAGAAGAGAGGGGTGAACGCGGGAGGAAACGACGGGAAAAGGGCTTCCAGTCGCCGACAGAGCGACCCACGCCGATTTTCGCTTGTGCCGGCGCGCCCAGGCAACACCCGGTCGTTTGGGTTCGGGGCGGGATCGCCGGCTCTGGATTTTGCTCAACCCGGCGCTAAACGAGATCCTCGGGGCGCGACTGGGCCGATTTTTGGCCACCAACAATAAAAAATTGCCTTGGGACCTGTTGGGGGCGCGGCTGGAGATGCTCTTAGATTGAGCATCATACACAATTGATTTTGGACAAACACTTATTGGTCAACATTTGACCTATTGGCATAGGATAGATAGTTCTCAAGGTAGCGGGCATCGTACTCTTGGTAAACCAGGATCTATTTAAATGGGGTTCACATGCTACAGGGACTTTTTCTGCACATAGTATGTAAGTACGGCAATTTTATTTTGGTCTATCTTGTTTTGCCGGAGTGACCTCATCTTTCCAAAGAATGAAACTACACCTTCTATGTGATTCTTTCTCTTATGTACCAATTCGGTGTGGTCGTGGGCTGTCGTACAACATCCGCGACACCAAGATCAAATGGAGCTTCGCGCCAAGAGTATGTAATGACCTAGTGGAGAATTTATGTCCTGGCTTGGATCATGTGCTTCTCACAGTATTCTTTGTGGGATCATGTCCTGGTCTTGGGGTCTTCTTGGCTTCTTTACAATCTGTTGACAAGTCTCTACACTCTCAATTTTTGTGGGAACGGCGATGGTATTTTGGTCTATCTTGTTTTTTATCTGAGTGACCTCATCTTTTCAAAGTATGAAACTATATCTTTTATGTGATTGTTATGTACCAATTCGTTGTGGCCGTGGACTGCCGTACAACATTCGCGACACCAAGATCAAATGGAGCTTCGCGCCAAGGTTATGTAATGACCTAGTATTCTTAAGCTTGCTTTAGCTTTGTGGCGTGTCTCTCACCTTTTTGTCTAGGCTGTGTTTTACTTGATTGAAATAAAGGCAGTAATAAGATTAAGGCGGCATACATCAACGATGCAGAGGGCGGGGCAAGAAAAGCTTCCATTTTACAAGAAAAAAATGCAAACCAGTGCATTGGTTTTACTACAATCATTAAGCTTTGATAATAGAAAGTCAAGTATTTTCACAACAATTAAGGAGTTACACAACTTAAAAATGAGCGTTCCTCCTGTTCAAATTCCTTCAAATCGCGTTACACGGTCAAAATTTAGATGGTTATAAACTCAAATGTAGGAATTTTACTAGTCGATCTACTGAGAATCTCCATGCCTGTGACAGTATGTTGATTCAACATGAACGGAGAGAATTATTCTGAAAAACAGCATGTAGGAAAAATGCTGAAAATGAAGGAAAGGGACAATGCAGCGTCCCATCAGACCGATGGGCACATGCATGACCACATAGTTTTTGTTTTCTCCGATCAATCGAGTAGCCGAGACAACGGATCAGAGAATCGAAATGGGAAGGCAGGTTTAATTACGTACAGCTCGCGGGGTCGGCGGTGCATCCGAAGATTCCGGTGCTCCAGGGCTCGTCGGCCGGCAGCTGGTAGGATTCCGGTAGGACCTGGCCGCACTCGGCGCACCTCCTGCACCCGGGCTGTGCATCGACCAGATCAAATTATAGGCAAGAGATCAGTGGATTGAGAATCAATGAGGATGAGACGAGATGGATCGAGGAAGGAGAACGTACCCGTGGGACGTTGATGGGCTGGTTGAGCTCGCCGGGGCAGATGTCCTCGGCGGGCGCCTCCTGGTCCCGGGTGAGCTTCACGTAGCGCGGCGCCTGGCTCTCCTCCGCCATTGGTCGCTTTCCTCGCCGGCCAGGCACGATGGGCCCGAGTCCAAGGGAAGGATTGGACGATCAGATTCATGCAAAGTAGTTTTGGGCGAGACAATCCGGACCGTTCGCGTCGCACGGCTCCATCCCAGTGCGCCATTGGGCTCCGTTCGCGTCGCACGGCTCCGTCCCGATCACACGGCCAGCGGGGAGTTCATTCTGCCGTTTAAAGCGACTATCAAACCATCGGCATCCCTTCGGGCCGAGCTGTCTGGTGTTTTGTCATCCAACGCGATACTTCATCCGTCTGCTGACCGGTCTAAACGTTCGTTTTTTCTCAAATTTGAGGCAAGTTTGAGGAGGCTGTGCGGGATTTCGGACATTAGCCACGTAAAACTCTGATACCTTCATCTCACTAAAATCCCCTCCTGATCCTTTTTTCTTCCACTCCACCCTGCTCCTATTCCTTCCATCCGCACCCTCGTCGTCTGACGCCGTACCTGTACCTCCCCGGCCGTCGTTAGGCATCCTACGACATCTGCAGACCCCACCCACGCGACTGCCCGCCTTGAACTATGCAGATGTCCGCCCAAGAATCCCTCCGCAGTCAGGTACCCTTCTCACCCCTGTCGACGCCGTCCCCGCACCTAGCAGGTGCTTAGTCAAATTTCATTGAGTTTTTTTAGTTGTTTTACAGAGAAGCACCATGGCGGGGCACTCGGTGTTTGTTGTGCAATGTGTGGTTGGCCGCTTATGAGACAAGGGCATGTCCTTTTGGCAAAGCTTGCATGCTTCGTTTCATGAGCGAAAGAACTTCGCATCTTACGACATGCACGCCATCCATGCACGCATTGTGAAGTCACTAACGCATCGGCGGTACACCATCTGCAACTCCATCATGAACTTTTGCCGTGCGCCATTGGGCTCGTAGACCATGCAGATCATAAATGTTGCTTCCTGTTACTCTACATGTTGATTAATTCGTTCATTCACTCAATGTTGCTACACACGCTGTATAGCCTACACGCGATGCCATGATGTACTAGAGGACCGAGGGCAGTCCATTCGCGCACATACATTGTTGGATGAAATTCAAGGAGCAATTTGCGTCGGACGGCATGTGTCGGTTCTGGCTCTAGTATCGTTGAATTTGGAATAGATGACTTCAAAAACTTGTTATCTTGTTGAATTTGAACTATTATTTATTCAAGATATTTTCATGGATGAATTGTGCTATTTTCTATAGTTACTTTGAGTGTTGTGGACTTGGTTTAGTTAAATGGACGAAATATTGTCCTTTTATGTAAATTATGTCCAAACTTTGTTGAATTCCGTCATGTTTGATGAAATTTGTCTGGTTGGTTGAAATTTCGCTTGGAATGTGTGCATCAATGGTTGGATGGCCAGCTCCTGCATCAATGTCCGCAAACTGGTCCACACCGGTCCACGGATTGATACAGTGTCCGACTTGAGGTCAGCATTGGAGATGCCTTTAGCACCCCAGAATTTTGCGGGTTCTTTTTTGCCGTAGAGGCAAGGTTTTGTTTCAACTTTTTTTTGAATGGGGCTAAGATCATATAAAGTATTATAGGTTCTTATTGTAAATACACATTTATAGAAAAATAACATTACATTATAATCTTCGGGTGTTGAAGTCGTCTTTCTCCTGTATCCTTGGGTGACGCGTTCTGAGCGTAGCTTGGTGCTGCCTCTGGGCCTCCGCATCCGCGGAGAAAACTTGTTAATCCAAGAAGCTTGTAGAAGCAGCAGCCGGAAACACTACAAAAAAATACACTTCCGTGATGATACGTGTTTGTTATAGTAGGTCACGTTTTCTGTCATGCATGTACATCCATGACAATTTTATGACAGAATCAAGATAGTCATACCTGTGCTGCCGTAGAAGTGTTCCATGACATTACCAAAATTATCATCACGAAAGTGTCCACTTTCTTGATGATAAATCGCGCGTCATGGAAGTGTTTTCGTCAAGGGTGACCGACACGTGGCATCCACCGTAACAGGTCGCCGTTAAGCTCTCGGGTCCGGTTTTTGAATCCGATAACCCGCTAACAGCCACGACCAATGGGGATTTTCCACGTGTAAATTTCTCATTGGCCAGAGGAACCACGTGTCGGCTCACCGTTGGGACAGATGTCATCCACTCATTGGACCGAAGGCGCCTATGATACATCGACACGTGGCATGGACCAACTGAGGCCCATTTCAATGAAAAGGCCGGCCCGTTTGACTTGGTCAAAAGGTAGCTGGTCGGCCCATGGAAAGCCTGTTAACGTTCTGTTCGCATATAGCCCATTTACAGCCCGCGAAGTCACGGCACATTACTGTTGGAAATATGCCCTAGAGGCAATAAGAAAAGGATTATTATTATATTTCCTTGTTCTTCATGATAATTGTCTTTATTCATGCTATAATTGTATTATCCGGAAATCGTAATACACGTGTGAATACATAGACCATAATATGTCCCTAGTAAGCCTCTAGTTGACTAGCTCGTTGATCAATAGATAGTCATGGTTTCCTGACTATGGACATTAGATGTCGTTGATAACGGGATCACATCATTAGGAGAATGATGTGATGGACAAGACCCAATCCTAAGCATAGCACAAGATCGTGTAGTTCGTTTTGCTAGAGCTTTTCCAATGTCAAGTATCTTTTCCTTAGACCATGAGATCGTGTAACTCCCGGATACCGTAGGAGTGCTTTGGGTGTATCAAATGTCGCAACGTAACTGGGTGACTATAAAGATACACTACAGGTATCTCTGAAAGTGTCTGTTGGGTTGACACGGATCGAGACTGGGATTTGACACTCGGTATGACGGAGAGGTATCTCTGGGCCCACTCGGTAATGCATCATCATAATGAGCTCAAAGTGACCAAGTGTTTGTTCACGGGATCATGCATTACGGTACAAGTAAAGTGACTTGCCGGTAACGAGACTGAACGAGGTATTGGGATACCAACGATCGAGTCTCGGGCAAGTAACGTACCGTTTGACAAAGGGAATTGTATACGGGGTTGATTGAATCCTCGACATCATGGTTCATCCGATGAGATCATCGAGGAGCATGTGGTAGCCAACATGGTTATCCAGATCCCGCTGTTGGTTATTGACCGGAGAGCCGTCTCGATCATGTATGCGTGTCTCCCGAACCCGTAGGGTCTACACACTTAAGGTTCGGTGACGTTAGGGTTGTATGAATATAAGTATGCAGCAAACCAAAAGTTGTTCGAAGTCCCGGATGAGATCCCGGACGTCACGAGGAGTTCCGGAATGGTCCGGAGGTAAAGAATTATATATAGGAAGTGTTGTTTCGGCCATCAGGAAAGTTTCGGGGTCACCCGGTATTGTACCGGGACCACCAGAAGGGTCCCGGGGGTCCACCGGGTGGGGCCACCTATCCCGGAGGGCCCCGTGGGCTGAAGTGGGAGGGGAACCAGCCCCTAGTGGGCTGGTGCGCCCCCCTTGGGCCCCCCTGCGCCTAGGGTTGGAAACCCTAGGGTGGGGGGCGCACCACTTGCCTTGGGGGGCACTCCAACCCCCTGGCCGCCGCCGCCTTGGGAGATTCCCATCTCCAGGGCCAGCGCCCCCCCTGGGGGCCTATATCAAGGAGGGGGGAGGGAGGGCAGCCGCACCCTGAGTCTTGGCGCCTCCTTCCCCCTGCTACACCTCTTCCTCCTCCCGCAGTTGCTTGGCGAAGCCCTGCCGGAGTCCTGCTGCATCCACCACCACGCCGTCGTGCTGCTGGATCTTCATCAACCTCGCCTTCCCCCTTGCTGGATCAAGAAGGAGGAGACGTCATCCGCTCCGTACGTGTGTTGAACGCGGAGGTGCTGTCCATTCGGCACTTGGTCATCGGTGATTTGGATCACGACGAGTACGACTCCATCATCCCCGTTCTCTTGAACGCTTCCGCTCGCGATCTACAAAGGTATGTAGATGCACTCCTATCACTCGTTGCTTAGATGAACTCATAGATGGATCTTGGTGAAACCGTAGGAAATTTTTTATTTTCTGCAACGTTCCCCAACAGTGGTATCAGAGCCAGGTTTATGCGTAATTCTTTATTGCACGAATAGAACACAAATCTGTTGTGGGCGTAGATCTTGTCAACTTGCTTGCCGCTACTAGTCTTATTTTGCTTCAGCGGTATTGTGGGATGAAGCGGCCCGGACCGACCTTACACGTACGCTTACGTGAGACAGGTTCCACCAACTGACATGCACTAGTTGCATAAGGTGGCTAGCGTGTGTCTGTCTCTCCCACTTTAGTTGGAGCGGATTCGATGAAAAGGGTCCTTATGAAGGGTAAATAGAAGTTGACAAAATCACGTTGTGGTTATTCGTAGGTAAGAAAACGTTCTTACTAGAACCCAATTGCAGCCACGTAAAAGATGCAACAACAATTAGAGGACGTCTAACTTGTTTTTGCAGCAATTGTCTTGTGATATGATAGGGCCAAAAGTTGTGATGAATGATGAATGATATATTGTGATGTATGAGATCATGTTCTTGTAATAGGAATCATGACTTGCATGTCGATGAGTATGACAACCGGCAGGAGCCATAGGAGTTGTCTTTATTTTTTGTATGACCTGCGTGTCATTGAAGAATGTCATGTAAATTACTTTATTTTATTGCTAAACGTTAGCCATAGAAGTAGAAGTAGTCGTTGGCGTGACAACTTCATGAAGACACGATGATGGAGATCATGATGATGGAGATCATGGTGTCATGCCGGTGACGAAGATGATCATGGAGCCCCGAAGATGGAGATCAAAGGAGCTATATGATATTGGCCATATCATGTCACTATTATATAATTGCATGTGATGTTTATTATGTTTATGCATCTTGTTTACTTAGAACGACGGTAGTAAATAAGATGATCCCTTATAATAATTTCAAGAAAGTGTTCCCCCTAACTGTGCGCCGTTGCTAAAGTTCGTCGTTTCGAAGCACCACGTAATGATCGGGTGTGATAGATTCTTACGTTCA